TTAGCAGAGAGGACTTTATCAAGGCATGGGTACAAAACAATCATCTAATCAAAAATTCCTTGTTCTATTTATTCAAGTGGGATGATAAGTTCTCCACCGGATTTGAGTCGTCAAGGGCGACAGCTTGGTTAAAGCTTTCTAGCCTCCCTCTCTCTCTTTTCCCTCGAGCTTTTCTTGTTAAAATCGTGTAACCAATTGGCACCTTCCTCTCGTCAAGATGCAAGAACAAGAAATGGTTCTCATCTAATCCATGCCGAGCTTCTGTAGAAATGGATCCGACAATACCGATACTAACACGAGTATGGATTTCTATTGGTCCAGTACAAAGCTAATAGATTTTAGCAAAAGATCATAGTTGAATCGAATATAGCATATTGTAATATTTTTCATCCGCAAGGACATATTCCAACTTCATGTAATAAGCTCCAACCTCCCACTCAAAGTAACCAACACTTAGGTAATGACCGCATTAGAGACGACTCTCGTAGATAAGGTAGTGAATAGTTATGGCAAAAGGTTGAGCAGCGAAGCATCAACCACTTTTAGCTATTGGTCGATTCCGTAGGTAACTAATATACAACCCCAATTAGTCCATGTAGGCTCCAAAACTCTTTTATCTAAAAGGAAGGAGAAAATAACAAAACAGAATATATTAATCCCTCAATTGCAAGTGAATGTAATAGAATTGGTAAAAAATTTTAATTCCAATAGCCATAGAGGAATACATCCTCATTATGCCTCAAGTCGGATTATGAATAATAGGGATAATAATGTGATGAATAAGCTTCGAGGTTTGATGAGCATAGATCACACGATCAGTATGGCCATATGAAACAAGTAGAACAAGAGTGAATAATACTAGAAAGGTGATTCTAGAAAAAGGAGTTAGCGGAGGAGAATACAAAGGAGAAAAAGAAAACTCAACATGAAAAGAATAGGTATATGGTGAGTTGTTCGCTAGTTGACATGGAGGTTATGACACCTCAAAATGATGAGACAACAACTACTATGGAAAAAACTAATATACAAGTTGAACAAGTAAGAAATTATCTCTACAAATTCCTTTAATTATTTAATGGGGACAAGACAAGGTAGTGTGGATGATGGGGTTATAACAAAACAAGTGGAGACCGAATTATCACCTAGAGTTATCTCCGAAATAGAAGTTGATAAACAAAGCTGGGTAGAAAAGGAGTATCCGGGTAGGTAGGAAAGATAGGAGCTCAAAGGTGTATCTTGACAAATAAGCAAAAAAAAAAAAAAAGTTATTGAGAAGCCCGGTTCGGGGTAGTTCTAAAAAAGTTATAAGATTTGTCGAGGATCACCATGGGGAACCCTTCTTCTCCCTTCCATATGTGTAGCTTGATATGGAATATAGGAGGCATTGGCTCCATAGGAAAAAAAAAAGATATCCGAACCGTCTCTTGTGACAACATAAAATTTCTCATCTTATTATCTTAGAGCCTAAACAATTAGCATAAAAAAATACAAAAATTAGTCGAGTCATTACACTATTCTGGTTATGCTTATGGAACCATGTGAATTCACACATATGGATTTTGTGGAGGGAATGGTTATAGATTGATATAGTGGCGGCTTGCTCTCAATCCATTACATTATCTCGTTAGGAACGTTACAATAGGTTTAAAAGCTTGGTTTATAATAGTTTATACCAGTTGGAACGTACTAAAGAGGAGATCATTATGGAATAATTTGGAGGCTTTAAACATTATGCAACCATGGATCATATGGGGACTTTAATGAAATTACGGACTCTTCATAAAAAATTAAAGGTACTCGATCCGACACTTAGTTCTATTTTTTATTTTAACTCGTAGAATACATAGAGTGGGCTTATAAGATATAGTATATGTGGGTAGTCAATATACTTGGTGTAATAATCAGCAAGAAAGGGCTCGAATATAAAAGAGGTTGGATAGGGTGATAGTGAATAATACGTTCTTTATGATGGCTCCTCATTTAACCAATTCATATCTATCAAGATTGCACTCGATCATTGTCCCTTATTGCTAACTATGGTGAGCTCTAATCCAAAGCCAGCAAGATTTTCTTTCAAGAGAATATGGGCTACTCAAGTGGGGTTTCTTTCATTTTTTCAAAACCAATTGTGGACTCCATTTAGCTAGAACCTTTTCTCAAATTACATCTCAAACTCAAAGCTTTGTATGTGGAGCTAAGAACATGGAACTAGGAAGTTTTTAAAGATACTAACAAGAAAATCAATGAGGCTCAAGATGAAGTAGTTAGATCGGAATCAATATTATAGAAAAACTAAAGCGACATCAATATGGAAAAGCTCACAATTGACAAACAATGCTTGTCCAACTTAATTGATCAAGAGGAGTTACTACTTTAGGAAAAGTCAAAAGTAAAATGGTTAGTGACAAGTGATAGGAATACAACTTTCTTTCATGCTAGCATTCACAATCATACTGTTAAACCTCGGCTTGCATTAAGGTTAGGGGATGGGTCTCTTTGTACTAAATATAACAAATTAGGTAATGAGGCTATGAAGTACTTTTAGGAATTTTCTCAAATGAGCTCGTCATCGATGATGTTATGTTTCTAGATAGTATCCTTAAAATTATTTCGGAACTACGGAATAAGGAGTTAATGGCTATCCTAACTATAAATGAGGTGAAGGAAGTGGTATTTAAGCTAGATAATCTAAGCACTCCCGGCCCGGATGGTTTCACCGAGGCTTTCTTCAAAACATGTTGGGATATAGTAGGACATGACGTGGTATCTTCCGTTCGGGATGTCTTTAAAGGTGGGGTAATTCTAAAAGGGGTAACAACTACCAACCTTATTTTGATTCCAAAATGTGATAACCCCGCTAGTTTTGCGGATATGAGGTCGATTAGCTTGTGTAATTTTTCCTATAAAATTTTATCTAGGGTGATCACCATAAGGCTTAGCAAGGTTCTTCCATTATTGATATCTCAAGAACGAGTCTAGATTTATGTCCGAAAGGGCAATACATGAGAATGTTGCCTTAGCTCGAGAATTTAATGATATAGATGAGAAAGTTCTTGGTGGAAATGTAATTTTGAAGGTGGACATGTCAAAGGTATATGATAAGATGGATTGGAGCTTTATCATTATGGTTCGGGAAGTTTTGGTTTTTCACAAAGTTGGTATGATCCGATTTTTTGTTGCTTGAGTAATTATTGGTACTCAATGTGCTTTATATCGTGCACATTTAGGTTCTTCAAATCGAAACAGGGAGTGAGGCAAGGAGATCCATCATCTCCTCGCTATTTTTAGCTTGGCTCAAGATTCTTTTAGTCGATAATTTAATACATGGATAAATAGAGGGATGATTAAGCCTTATTACACGAGTCCTAGGACTCCAATTATTTCACATCTTCTTTTCGCCGACGATATATTACTATTCTATAATGAGGGAAAGAAAACGATTGATAAAATTTTATCATTAATCAATAAATATGCTTCATCCACTCGGTCGGTTAGTCAATCATAGGAAGAGTTCACTTCTATGCGAAGAACAAGTTACCTCCCAATAGGAAAAATCTCTTAACAACATGGGCATGATTTCCTATAGCAACAAAGGTTATTAAATATCTAGGGATGCCACTATTTAAAGAGCGAGTGTTGTATCCAATATTTCACCATTTGGAAATAAAAATTAAAGATAGGCTTACGGAATGGAAGGGAAAAGTTTTATTTGTAGGGGGACGAGTATCATTGATTTAGAGTGTTTTATCATCCATTCCCATATATACCATAGGAGTGTTACAAATTCCCAAAACTAACATCTCAAGGCTCCGGGGTTATATTTTTAATTTTTTTCGGAATAGCGAAACGGAAAGTAGGCAATAGAAAGTAGGCATCACTTGGTCAATTGGAGGAAGATGTCTTTGCCTAAAGAAGAAGGAGGTCTAGCTATCAAAATTTAGGAGAACCGATGAAAGCTATAAAAGAGAAACTTGCTTAGACATATCTTTCGAGCTAGTCCGTATGGAGCTCCTTCATGTGGGATAAATATGGGTCTCTTGCTAGTATTATTAAACTAGACGATATCAAGGAAACTCGATATGGAAAGCATTTTTGCCGTATATTAGAGCCTTAATGGATAGCTTCATATAGCTAGCGAGGGCTAAAAATATACATTTATGGGAAGAAAAGTGGATAACGCTGGATTTATCCACATTAAGGCCAACTCGCTAGCATGGATATAACGTTATTTCAAGCCAAAATAGACCCTTATATATATGATTTCCTCCCTTCATTGGTTAGAAATGAACTAAACACCATATACTTGGATGAAAATAGGGATGATGTTCTTTGTTACATGAGAGCTAAGTCGGGAAGATTTAGTGCAAAGGATTATCATGAGGAGAATAGGATAGTCGGTCCCAAATTTGAATGGTGGAGGTGTTGGTGGAATAAATGGGTTCCCATAAAAGTGGGATTTTTGGTCCGAAAACTAATGAACAATGCCTCGGCGATAGATGAACGGATTAAGTTATGTGGAATCCCTTTTTCCTTATATGTGTAGATGTTGCAGCTATCCATAAGAGGAGTCTAAAGAGCATCTCTTCATCCAAAGTGAGGTTGTTGGGTCTCTATTGGGTTACTTTGGTGACATTTTAGACATAAGTTCGAGGGCGGCTTCGATAACACAACCTGGATGCTAGGTGGTTATCCAACGGAATGCCTTCCTTGTAGAAATCCTTCACTAGGATCTTGGTTTTTAACTTTATTATATGGGAGTTGTAACTAGGAAGGAATATGGTAGTGTTTAAAAATAAGGTAATGAACTATACGGGAATTAAAGTTAAGGTGATGTAATGATTGATTAAGCTAAATAATCTTTTTATCATGAAGGTTGCTCCGTCCTTCTATGACAAATTATGTATCGAGTCTTCTTGGAATTGATCCTAAACCACCCCGTTTAACCATAGGAAGATGGATAAAATGGTCCCCTCCATCTTCGAGGTTACCTAAAGCTAAATATGGATGAAGCATCTAGGGAAATTTATGCTTGTGGAGAAGGAGTTTTACAGGATGCTAAGGGGAGAATGTTGATGGCCTTCTCTATTTTCTTTCGCATTGGAACTAATAACAAATTGGAGCTTTTGGCCATTCAAGAAGGTCTTAGATTATGCAACATTCTTAACTTTCAACCTTCTAGTATAGAGGCTGATTCTTACCTTGCTTTGTGTGGCTTGGAGGGATTACAAAATCTGTTATGGCATCTTACTTACATTGCTTGGGATTGTAGGTCTTTATTGTGCCCGAGTATTACCGCCAACCATGTATTCAATGAAGGGAATAATGTTGTAGATAGGTTGGCTATATGGGCCTTTCAACACTCCTCCACTCAAATAGTTTTCAAACTTTCAAACATCCCAGTAGTTGTGTCCAAGCTATTCAAGAGGATGCTAATGGTGCTTACTTTTATTGCAACAAGTGAGGAAAATCAATATGTAGTCGATAATAGTGGCTAGTTGGATTTTTATGCAAGGTTTTGGTTGCATCATTTTGCCTCAATTGTTTTTTAGTATGTAAGCAAGCTTTTGTAGACACATTACAACTTGTAAGGTAGGCTTCAACAATTCGAGTTCCGGTTTAGTCTTTTCAAGACGTGGAATTCCTATGGCGTTGAATTTATCCAGTAGGATACTTTGTGAAAATAGGGTCTATGGTGTTTATTGTATGTTTTTCTTATAGTTAGGGAGTTTCGGTTATTTAACCATGATTTGTTTAAAGTTAATATTCATCTTGGTTTTCCACTCTATAGAGTAATTAGATTCTTTTTTGGAAATTGATCTTTAGCGGTCTAGGCTTCCTTACCCTCCTAATATGTTAGGTTAGGCTAGTTTGTCCCCCTTTGTATTTTTTATTTTATCTAATATACTATCCGGGTATCGTCCTTATTCTCTAAAAAAAAACAAAACTAACCAACCAAGGAAATCAAGTTAGGAGATCAAGAAATTATTAAGGGAAAATTTATACGTTAGGCCGAATTAGGGGAAAGAAGAGGGAGGAAGAATTTCTCAATTATCTCACTTTTGAATTTTAATTGAAGCTTATCTATGTAAGTTAACTCCACCTACATCACAATGGTTATTTAATTGATCTTAATTTATGGTTTATATGCTTTAATTTGTGAATTTTAGCTTTAATTTAAAATATAAGGTTTAGGGTTTTTGATGAACTAAAATTGGGAGAAATGGATTTTAGCTTGTAATTCATGCAATTAAGGTTGAATTATGTTAATTGGACTTGAATTTAAGGTTTGAAACTCAATAATTTCCGAGGTTGTTTAAGGGGAAGCATTCAGCCTAAAGTGGTGATTTGGGGCTTTTTTATTCCTTCATGTAATTAATGTTTTAGAGCATGAATATGACCTAATTAGGCATGAATTTGTGTTTAGGAATGAAAAACCTCAATTTAATTAAAGAAAAATCCATGAAGTTCCTAAGGTTACATTCGACCTAAACTTGGATTTTTAGGATTTGAGTTTTATCCATTCAATTCAAGATGTGTTAGTTTATTAGTACTTAAATGAGTCTAATTTGATGTGTAGGAAGGAAAAATTTGAAGAAAATTGAAAAAAAAATTGATTAATTTGGCTTCGACCCAATTTCAACCCATTAAGGCCCAATTGGGTTTAGATATGAAATTGTACCTTAAATGTTAATTGGACTAATTCCTATTGATAATGTAAGTTTAAAATGCTTAGTGTTAAAATTTTAGGATGAAATGAAAAAAAATAATAGGGTTTAACTTAGGGGTATGTTCAGCTTAAATGGGCAATTTTAGGGTTTAGATTCCAAATGGTCTTTAGCACTTCAATTGATTAATTCAAGCTTAAAAAAATATAATTAAGTGAATTAGAATGAAAAACTTCATTAAGATTCAAAAATTAACTTATGTTAGTAAAATTAGGACTTAGGCCTAACAAGGCCCAAATTAACACTAATGCATATAAATTACCCAAACAATACATAATTGTGTTGATTCATGAAATAGGACATAATTGAGGAGAATTTGATGTGTAATGGATGCTAGAAATTAAAAGAAAATGGTTAGGTGATGTTAGGACATAATTCGGCTTAATGTGGAAAAAATGGGACTTTGATTTATTTTGTGTGGCTTTATGTATAATTGTGTTTTTGAATGATGTTTATTGTGTTTGAATTTTGAATGTTCTACTTGGTGAAATGTGGATGATGACGATGTTACATTGGTACTGATATGGATTATGATGGTTGATATTATTAATGCAATTATATTTATGATTTATGCATCATCATGACATGATTAATTATAGCATGCATCTCATGAATCAATGCTAGTCATGCATTACCAACAAATTTCTTATGTGTGCCTAATTTCATGGAAAGTATTTTAAAGTCATGAAAACATATTTTTACCTCATTGTTTTCCAATAGCAATTGGAAACGTTTTAAGGAATTTGATTTTCATAACTTAAGGATTTTTATGAGGAAAGGGCTTCATGGGTTTTCCATATGATAATAGTAATGGTTAAGTGTAAACAAGTGTAGACATGCACTTTTAGAGATCGACGTGGCGCGTCCGCAGACGGGTTTGGTTCGTCATACGTATGTTATGAAAATCTTGAAGTACCTAAAAGGGATATGTCCAAAGATAGAAAAGGATTTTCAAACTGATCATGAAACGTATTATGACATGGAAAAAGGATTTGATGTGCATATACCAGTATTTTATACATGCATATATCTATAGATGCATAACATGCATAAGTTAACTTACTAAGCTATTACTCACTCAGTTCCTTGTGATGTAGATAATTAAGATACAATAGCGTATTTCTCTATCGAGCTGATTTTTGAGGGGTACACCACAAGTATATACCTTAGGTGGGGGTTTGGCTTCTAAGTGGATCTCGTCGCATGCCATTCTAATTTTGGTACTAGCCATTATCCCGTATGTGTTACGATTAGTTGGTTTGTTATATGTCATGATAAAAGCAATGAACAAGTAAATGAAGTATCTCTAAAATGATGTAGTTAGTCAATAAACTAATTTTGTAGTAGTTCACATATAACTTATCTTATATGCAAACAAGTAATTTATATGTAACCAAAGCACTAACAATAAAATGATAGTGTAGCTATAATAGTGTAGTTATTTTAAATTGTCCATTGCATATTAGTATCCTTATGACATAAGGCAATATGATTAGATACGTGCTAATTAACCTAAATGAGAAATATTACAAGGAAATAAATAATTGAATAATAATAATAATAGGTAATAATTAAAAAAAGTTACACAGATTAATAAGAAATGAATTTAGGACAATCAATTGTCATGAATTTAGTTATTCCAATCAAAAGAATATCAATAAGAGAATAAAACGTAAAAAATTTATAACGTTATTTTACCTAAAGTTTAGGACCTACCTTACCAATGTTAGGTTTCTTTAGCATAGATTACACATTAATATTAAGATTAAGCCATAGTGCTTTGTTAGCTTGCATTCATTGCACCTCGAATGTAGGTTAATAATGGTAATATTCTCAACCTTTTAGTTCCTAGGTTGGAGGTGTTACATTAGCTCTCCTTTTAATTGTGTCGAATTTTATTCTTGTTGTCATATTTCTCCTCCTACTTATAGGAGGAGAGTTTTCTTGTCCTCTAAGCATAATGAAAGGGGCAACAACTTGTCCTAATTTAGACTCTTAGTTGTTGCTTCCTAATCCTCCAACGATTAGGAGTTATTTAACATATGGGCTTTTGATCTTTATCTTTAAAACATTCATTCTTATCCAATAAGGTTCTTGTTTATCCTCCAACCAAAATATCTTTAGACTTTTAAGTAAACCTATTGGCCCAAAATCATTTTAGCTAATTAATTAATTTGAATTATCCAAATAAATAAACTTAGATAATTTTTAGAGGCAACATTTAAGAAACACTTTCCCAAATTACCCTTAAACCTAAATTAGAAAACTAATTTTCATTTTAGGTTATTTACTTTCAAATTTAGAACTAACTTACAAATTAGGAAACTGATTTCTAAAATAGAAAACTTTTCATTTTAGAAAACGTTCATTTTAGGAAATTCTATTTTTGGAAACCCTTTTCAAAGTAGGAAACTTTGAAAATTGGAAAAAATTTTCAATATCTTTACTTCTCTTTAATCATGTGAATGCTTAAACTTATACGTATGACTTAATAGCCTCTTAGATATTTTGGCAATGTATTAAAAATAAAAGACATCTCTTTTATCTCTTGATAGATAAGTCAAGATTAACCTTTAGCAAGACATCATAACTACCAAATTTTGTAGGAGGATTAATTAATCTATTATTACCTTTCATGAGAATGGTTATCATAAATTCAGCCCTCATATCAACTTATCACAATGTCATCTCGAACTTGGTTATAAGCCTTGTTTGATTATGATCACACTAGTTTTCTTTGATTCCTAAATATCTTAGCTCTTAGAGTAAACCAACTATGCTCTATTGGTGTACTTCTACTATGGTCATAGATTTATTGAGTAGACATTCATCAAAGTGCTAGATGATAACTCTTTTAGTATACAAAGAATGATATTTTCTATCTTAGTCACTCACATACCTCATTAGATTTCTAATGCATCCAATGAATCATCCATATACAACCCTTTATCGGGTCCATCAAAATGAGTATCAAAGTGCATAAATCCTCTAATGAGATAACCGTGGTGACTTAAACTCTAAAGAACATTTGTTTTCATCTCATATGAGATTTCCATAGACTAAACCAAATAAAGGATTAGTTATACCCATCTTGCATGAGATTCCTATAGACTAAACCAAATGGGTTTTGATGGCAAGTCAAATCCAGTGATATATTCTCTAATATAAATCATCAATGTACTTGCTTTAGCATCATCACGTCAATAGATGTGAGATTTTCCACTGCTATCATATAGCATGAGTATAGCACTCACAAGTCTAATCGCATATATTCAATGTCCATTATTAGCAATGCTACAACTTAGGACATTTGATGATATCATTTATGTGTATTAGTGTTTGTCTCACATCTTTCGATCAATTACTAATGTAAATGCCTATCATATGGACTTCTTTCTAGTTCTATTCAATCAATAAATATAACCGACAATAATTAATGGAAAGATTTCTATTATTATAAATAATACAATAATATAATAACTTAAATCCATCTAAAAATTATTAGATCTTGGGCACCTAAACTAATAACTAGGTCTTGGAATCTCAATAAGAATTGTAAAACTTGATGTTTGATTAAATTTTTTCTTTTGAATCACTTGATTTAGATATCTAAAATTCTAAATATGCTCATTTAAAGATTTAGTATTCGGATAGAATCCTATGTTTCAGTTTCTAACTCTATCTTTGAGCCAACCTTTGAAGGCTCAAACAAACTTGGATTTTGGCCTATAATACCATTTTGGAAATATTAAGATGTTCTCTAAAATTTC